AATTAATTGCGAAAGCTATCGATAATCACCCATGAAGTAAAAATAATTGTTTGTACCGAAAGTAAGGACCTACATACATCAAATTGTCTTTAAATTTAAGTAGTGGCAGAAGAATTATCGTTGAACTGTTAAAAGATAAGGATAAATATTAATGTAATAATTAAATGCAACGGTTAATTTTGAGTTCTTCTGTATTTTATTGTTGCTTATCGCATATGGCAGCAGTATGCCTCGCAAAAAGAAATGTCCGCCAACAGAGGATCAGATTGCAATCAAAAGACCCAAGGTTGCAGCGAGGAAAAGAAAGTTCGGTGCAAATAAAAACCTTGCTCAAACTGTAGTCAGGAGAGTTTCCAATGACGAGAATATGCAAAGATTTAGGGGCTCTCAAACAATCAAGAGCCCTCTACAGGAGCTAGTTTAAATCCCGTCTAATATGGCTGCTTTTAAGCTAGTATATAATATAGATGTCCTGTTAACTACATTAATATAGCGATACATTGTAAATTATTTTATTTGCATTTAAAATAAATGAATAATTTTATCCTTTAACTATTATTCAATATGTAAATATCTTGATTAATTTATTTAAAGCAATTTTAGTTATGTTATTTCTTTTAGTTTTTAAACGAATTCCTTCCGGTAAGGATAAAAAAATTTTTTTTTGCTTTTTTTTGGGTGGGGAGTAACTTATTTAATCTAAAATTTACACGTGATGTTTTTTTTTTCGTTTAACTAGTATTTAACATGTAAATATCTTGATTAATATATTTTTAAGCGATTTTAGTTAAATGTTATTTTCTCTTAGTTTTTAAAAGCACTTTATTAGAGTATCAATATCCCAAATTATTTGTACCGTATCTTAGGATGTTTCTTTTTGTCATTTTAATCACTTTATTGTAAACATTTTATTAAGTGTAGGTTCGAAGAGAAGAAAAGAAAGAAAAAATAAGAATAAAAAGGAAAGTTAAAAAAAAGAAGAGAAAGACCAAACAAATAAGATATAATAAAGAAATTAAAATGGGGAGGAAGAGAAAGAAAAGTAAGTCGTAGGACGAGCAAATATAATAAATCGTTTTTTTTTTTTTATATATATATATATATATATATATATATATATATATATATATATATATATATACTAGCAGCATGGCCCGGTGTTGCCCATGCTTGATTCAAAAATCGTACGACTCATACAGCAATCGCTATCACTTGACTTAAAATGTTTTTGCCCTTCCTTGCCTTCAAAGGAGTGCCCTTTGCCGTGCTGATGTTGCTACATGCCTTACTTCTTGCCTATCTCACACTGCGAATTTTTTCTAAGCTCTATACTAAACATAAATGTTACAAAAAAAGAACTAAACAAAATGAACACAAAACGATCAGCTTTAAAAAAGGTCTCGTAACTGGAAAAACCGAATGAAAAAAGAATGTTAACAACAAATACTTTTTCACACCGAATCCAGTTCTGCGGAATCAGAATCAACGTTGAGTTTGAGCAAGCGAATGAGCCAATTGGAGTAAAGTGCTATGGAGATTTAAATTTTTTCCACTTGTGACGAATGCAGCTATCGATTTTTTTTTGCATGCTAGCATGCTAGTTAACATTCGTGTCAGTCAGCTGTTGGCTCTCACGCTGGCCAATAGAATCTTCCTGCCTATTCGTGGCAGCCAGCTATAGGCTCTCACTCTGGCCAGTAGAAAATGGCCACAAACTACATGAAAACTGCCGTAGAAGCATGAAAAATCGATTATTTCCACCATCGATGGGAGTTGCGAAATGCAACGTCGGTCTTAGCCTTTCCGCTAACTTGGAGCATGTGCATGTAAATTTTGGTGCAAATCCGTCGAAAATTGCGACCGTGTGTTCATTACACACACACATCCTGCCTTATATATATATATATGTTAAGAAATGGACAAGGTCCGACAATTTATTTATTAAAGACATTTTTTATGTTTAACGTTGTTATTTATAGATACAAGTATTTAAGCAAATGCTCTGTTTATGATAAACAGTATTAAATAACATTTACCGGCCTGAATGTCCGAGAAATTTTCATAGAAAATATTCGTTCTTTGACAGGATTCGAACCTGCATCCTATACGGGTCAAACGTCATATAAAAGATTCAGACAAGGTCAATTTAATGTTTATAAACAAACTTCCAAATCTCGTACATTCTAACTGCTCTGGCGTATCGAATGTAAACAAATGACGTCATATGTTAAGAAATGGACAAGGTCCGACAATTTATTTATGGTCGACATTTTTTTTATGTTTAACTTTGTTAGCGTACAAGTATTTAACGTTCTGTTTAGGATAAACAGTATTAAATAAATTACCGGCCTGAAGAACGAAAATTTTCATAGTTTATAAAAAATTCGACCTTGTCTGCCGTAAGTTTCTTTGGGACAGCGGTCAAGGCGTTACCTGCGGTTCTGGATGGAAATGTTATTTAATACTGTTTTACTGTTTATATAAAGAGCATTTCTTAAATACTTGTATCTATAAATAACAACGTTAAACATAAAAATGTCTTTATATATATATATATATATATATATATATTGGTTTGTTTTCTTGTCTTCTTCCAAAAACGCCCTGTCTTTGCCGCATGTAAGGAAGATCAGGACAACCAAGCATACCCAATCTATAACATGGAATAGCCCAAGTGGAGTCTTGATTACTTGCTGTTTACATAATGCACGTCCTAAAGCTAGTGGCAAATTTTATTCTGGCTGCGGGCCGAATACTGATCATATTCAGTCGGGTCGCCCGTCGAAGAAGTCTGTTGTTTATTTAGACCCGAAACTTCTAGTGACATGGGAGCAACAACACTGACAACACACCTAGATTCGACAAGAAGGTGTATTTTTAATAATAATAAAAAAGGATTTTCAAAGGTTAAAATCAATAGAGGCACTATAAATTGAATAAATCCAACAAGGTAGTATAAATAGAGCACCGAGGCTGATATATCCCCTGACATTGCTCACACAGCTCAATGGGCGGGGGGAGAAACTGACTTGGACATTCCATACCACCAAAACCAAGCTAGCAACCTTTTATCATCAGAGAAGAACCTGATGCTTCTCTAGCTCTAATGAAAGATTATGCTTTATAAAAATTGACGCTGCATTTGAACTTTTGAAAAATCAAAGTAGACAGGGAAGTAAGAAGCCCGAATAGAATGCCACAATCGAGAAGAGCGAGAGAATTAAAATGCCGAGACCTTGCTGCCACTATACTACTGCGGTTAAATTCATAAAATCTAGGTACCATAGGGGAAAGTTCATTTGAACAACTACCAGGAAAGTATTTATAGAAAAGGCACAGGGAAGCTACATTACAGTGAAAAGTGACTGAAACCGAGATGCAAGGTCTGGACCAATAACATTGCAGATTCTTCTTTGGATTTAGAATACAGTTAGTTATCTCCATTTACCAAGCAATTCTTCGATTTTTTCATTAAAATACCTCATGCATTGATGTGAAACTATTTTGGACAAACTTTTGAATCAGGTTTTCATTATAGATGCAGTCCCGATCAAAGCTTTCTCAATGATCAAAAAAAGGTAACAATCATTTGTTGCAAAGTCAAATGAGTATAGTGGGCGGGCTAGAACAGACCGACCGAGTTCCACTATTTTTTTTCTGTTATTCTTTCTGCATGCGGGTTTGTGTTGTCATGTTACCGAACTGCTTTGTTTTGTCTATTGACGAGCGCAGTGCAATTTTCGATCATAATTAGGGCCCCAAGGATGATATATCCTCTGAAATTGCTCACACAGCTCAGTGGGGGAGAAACTGACTTGGAACATTCCATACTGTTATGGTGAAACACACCTATTCTATACTTAATAGACTCTCCCACCAATAATAAGTAGGAGTAATAAGAGTAACGAGGGAGTAAGTCGGTGAGTCGGTCAGTCAGTGAGTCGATGTCGGACGACAGTTAGTCGAATACGAAAGTATCAGCGACCACAACTAGATTTCTCTACTTTATACCTATTATATCAAGTTCCTAACGTTTTGTATGTCGAACCTGTTTTAGGACCGGCTTAGTACAAATACAAGCCTCCACTGCGAAACCACTCCACAACACATACCCACAAAACCAAGCTAGTAAAACTTCATCGTCACGAAGAAGAACCTGATTTTTCTCAAGCTGTCATGGACAATTATGCTTCATAAAAATTGTTGAAGCTTGGATAAGCATGGAATAATAATAATACAACACAAAATGTAAGTAAACAAAATGTATTGAAACAAGGAAAAGGTACACAATATTTACAGTTAGTTTTGGTATATTCTTGGGAAGACTGTTCCTGCAGAATGGGTTGACTTAATCGCAGTCGGGCAGAGTCTCTGGATTGCATCTCTTGTTACTCGCTTCACCCGTCTTCCCGGTACCAACCCATATTTGTATGGTCGGTACGCCAATATGTAAATTAGGTGGATCGTACCACAACAAAAATCTTTGCCTGGAAATTTATTGGGAATCCAGCTCACACTAGACCTCAGATTGAACTAACATATGCAAACCAGCGCTGGAAAAGTACTTGAAAAAATTGTCGGCCATTTGAACAGCTTCCGAAAGTACTTATACTCTCTCTTTACAAGAGCCAGATTCGATCGAAACAATATGGCGAATTTCTGACCTATCCAAGACGGAACTGCCCTATTATCACTTTCCAATTTTGACAGTAGAATTAACGAGCCATTGTGGTTGATGAATTACATAGCTCCTTGCAATCATTCTCCCACGGATGAAATGTGGCTAGCCTCTTGCAAATTTATCGTTATTTCCATAAGAGAATGAATAAAACGCGGATAAAACATTAGTAAGTGTTTTGCGAATCGATTCCATTTTTAATAGTTCAAATGGAAAACGCGGCAGGTTTTTCAGAAGGATAGCACGGAATTTTGATACATTGAAGTTTTACCGTCATTTAGGTTAAGTGATTTCATCCAGATTAAGATAGATAAATAGGTTGTTAGATAGATAGATATGAACAGAGAGATAGATGAAGAATGATAGATAGATAGATAGATAGATAGATAGATAGATAGAACAAACCGATCGAGATATATAGAAAGATACATGGATATGAACAAATTGAACTAGATAGATACATGCGCGCATACATAGAGATGAACAGTGAGATAGCTACACTGCTAGATATATAAATATGAACAGATAGATAGATAGATAGATAGATAGATAGATATGAACAGAGTGAGATAGATAGATAGATAGATAGATAGATAGATAGATAGATAGATATAAACAGAGTGAGATAGATAGATAGATAGATAGATAGATAGATAGATAGATACTGAACAAAGTGAGATAGAGATATCACTAGATATATAGATATGAACAAATAGATAGATGGATGGTTAGATAGATAGATAGATAGATAGATATAAACAAATTGAACTAGATAGATAAATACATGCACACAGACATATGAACAGAGTAATGTAGATACACCACTATATATCTAAATATGAACAGATTGAGATAGATAGATAGATAGATAGATAGATAGATAGATAGATAGATAGAACTGATCGAGATGTATAGAAAGATAGATAGATATGAATGGTGAAATAGATATATCGCTAGATATATAGATATAAACAAATAGATATGAACAGAGTGAGATAAGTATATCGACAGATAGATATATTTATATGAACGCATTGAACTAGATAGATAAATAGATAGATATGAACAAATTGAACTAGGCAGACACATGCACGCAGGCATAGAGATGACCAGTGAGATAGCTACATTGCTAGATATATAAATATGAACAGATAGATAGATAGATAGATATGAACAGAGATAGATAGATAGATAGATAGATAGATAGATAGATAGATATTTTTTGTACAACTTGTCATCACGTTGTGTTTTAACATTATTTTTATATTTATATTCTGAATATTGTACTCATCTTTGTTGTTTTTATCGCAACGTTTCGGGCTTTCAGACCTTCATCAGGTGTATATCGATCTGTGTAATCTACAGGGAATTCTGGACTGAACATTTTATTTAATTTCCTAAGTAATAAATTGTGTTTTGTTTCTAATTAGGATGGCATTTATAAAATCGAAGTTATGACCTCTTTTGTTTCAGTCTGTCGCGAGCGAATGTAAAGGTTTGTCTCAATGTAGGTCTCTCTTGTCCGTGGATGCGAGCCCCAGAGTCCCTACAATGTTTCACCTATGTAATTCTTCCAACAATGTTGGCATTTATATCGTAAATCCCGGCATGTAACGTGGTGTTGGATCTATTTTTCTTCTTTATTATATTTTTGATCGTCGTGGAAGTGGTGGCTAATTAGATTGTTTCCAAAATGAAGTTTTGGGGCCTATAATTATGAATTTCATGTTTTCTTGTCGGAGGTGATAAATATTTTGCCAACTATAAACACGCGTCAAAGACACTATATTATTTTATCCATTTGCATAAAATCCACTTAGTGTAAGATTCTTTTAACCTCACACAAAACTTTTCCAAAAAATATAACAATATATCACGATACAAATTAATACATTGAATTTTAGTTAATTAAACTTATATATTTATTTATAGCCTTACGTTTTTATCAAAATAACCCACACAAAAAAATAAACTTTAAAAAAAGTAAAAAGGAAAAAAAAAAATTAAGAGTTAAAATTTAAAAAAATATAAATAAAAAATAAAAATAATTTGAAATTAAATTTTAAAATGATACAAAATTTAAAAAAAAAATTAGAACTTCAAACAGAAACTGAATAAGAAAAAAATAATTTAAGTTAAATTCATTGTTTTTTCGTGGAATTATATTGAGTTTCGTATCCAGGTTCTTTCTTTAAATTAAACTAAGAAAAATACTTAATTTTAGTATGTCCCATACTAAAATAAATACATAAAATAAAAGTATTTAGTGAAATAGGAATTAAAAAAGTAAAAAGTTATTTTAAATTTTAAGCCTGTTAAATTTCAAAATCTGTTGAGACGTAAACACGTTGTAACCCTGAAATGAAAATAAAAGAATTGCAGACGGACAATTTTTTTAGTGAGCACAAATCAAAAAACATATTTACAAAAATGGGAATGTTTCTACGCTAGAAAAAAATTAAAAATTATTTTAAAAATATTGGAGTAAACGACTTTTATTAAGAGTTTCAATTTTTGATTCGTAGTTTTCGCTTATAAAAATATTACCTAACCTAATTGAAGTAGTGCAAAATTTTAAACGATTTAAATTATTATAATTAAAACTTAAACAAAAAATTGAAACAATTCTTGTAAAAATTCATTATTCATCGGAAAAATGTTTTTAAAGTCAATAGTGTCCTTAATAAATCTTATTTATAAAAGCTATTAAAAGCTTTTCTAATTAGAAAAGCTTTTAATTGCTTTTATAAATAAGATATAAATATAAAAAAATAATGTCATAGTTTTATTGCATTTTTTATTTTATGATTCACAGCAGATTTTCGATAACTCGAAAACCTGTTTTATAAAGAAAAAGATGAAGAAATAAATAAAAATCCAAGGAGTCCTTCTAAAACAAATTTTGAGATTGCAATTTAATTTCCCGAAATTTCGTGAAATTAAGTGAGCATGGGGTGGGGGCAACATAGGCAAAGAAAAATATTTTTTACGAAGATTTTCAGAAAAATAATTAAAATAATTTCACTCATTTGTAAATAATTTCTGAAAATTTCATTAAAATCCGACAATTATTTAATTTTTGTAAGAATTTCGAAATGGACGTGTTTTCTCCTAAAAAAAGGCGCCAAAACACTAATGGTAAATATTACTGACGCAAAAAAGAAAAAAAAAACAAGAATTTTAACCATAATTTCGAACGTGCTAGAAAGGATTAAAATTTTAATATATTAATAACAATACTTTGAACTTTCTTCTTAATAATACCATAAACATTTTGACGATAAACTTTGTTTTTATTAAGTTTAGAGCCTTTTTTCATCATGCTATGCTATTTTTCAGCGAGCAAGTGGAGGTACCTAGACAATAGTATCCATAATATATTTTATTTATAAAAGAAATTAAATACATTTCAAATTAAATACTGTTGTATTGCATATTTTATTTGACGATTCAGAGCAGATTTTTCTGTTTGAATACAAAAAGATTTAAATTCTCCGAGGACTTATTCTAATAACTAATAAGAAACATTATGTGCAGCAAAAAATATTTCGAAATTTCATAAGATTAAATTAGTGTGTGTTAACAAAAGTGAAAAAAAATATTTTTATCAAGATTTTCTAAAAAAAAAGAAACCTTGAATCTTATGTTAATAAGTCCTGAAAGTTTATTAACACTTTCAGCCCTGAACACCCCTTTACCGGTGGTAGAGAAAAATGACATAATGCCCAGCCACCGGTTGAACAGTGGTAGAGAAAAATGACTTAATGTCCAGCCACCTGTTGAACGGTGGGTAAACACTTGTAATTAACTTCATATCTCCCGTGAAAAAAATACCTACCAATTATTTGCGAATTTAAACGCAGGAGATCAGGTAAACGGATTAAAATTGTTCAGGAACACAGGGCTCAAAGGTTAAAAACCGACAATTATCTGATTATTACAAGAACTTCCAAATAAATGTGTTTTTCATTGCACAAGACACTCAAATATCCCATATTCATTTATTTGACGACAGGGAAACAATATTTTTAACTAAAATTTCGAAAATTTTAAAAAATGATGACAAAAAATTACATGAAAATTCCTTTTAATAATAACACAGCGATTTTGACGATAACGCGTAGTCTTTATTAAGTTCTGAGCATTTTTTCATCATTTCTTAGCAAATCCTACACACACTAACTCCCCATATATATATATATATATATATATATATATATATATATATAGTAAAAGGTTATAAATCCGTTGATATATAATCCAAGTGGGTCTTAATAATATAAAATTTAAAACTGATCCACAAAAAAGACCTCAATGTATTTATTACAGAGCAAAAAATTAATACACAATATCCAAAATCACCTCATATGAAGAATAAGCTATATATATATATATATATATACATATATATATATATATATATATATATATATATTCAATATATACATATATATATGTGTGTGTGTAATTCGATATAAATATATAATTAAATATATTTATATTTAATTAAATATATATATATATATATATATATATATATATATTATATATTTATACATGTAATTAAATATATAGATATAATATATATATATATATAATTAAATAAATATATATATATATAATTAAATATATATATATAATTAAATATAATATATATATATATATATATATATATATATATATATATATATATATATGATATACTGTTTGAATTTCCTGTTCCTTCTGTTGTGCTGTTCACACAATTTCTTGATCGTCTCAGTCATTTTCAAGAACACTGTGTTGTCTTTTGATTAGGGAAGTTTCTGTTTTCTATATCCTGGTATTTGTTAGAAAGCTGTGTAACATATGGAACGATCAACATAAAGCACTAGCTGCTCGGTCTATGAATATTCAGTTATGTAACCTTATAACGAAAGGGCTGATATTGCCATATATATAGATAATAGATTTTGATTCCAGCCAGATGGCTTGGAGGTGAAGAAAAGTTTTACTCCAGTATACAGAGTCTGCTCCCTCAATGTAAACCGAATGCTTCCATATAAGAAAATAACTAATATTACCATTAGATATAAGAACAGATACTATACTTTGATCCTAGCCCGACGACCAGGAAGTGAAGAAAAGCGTTACGGTGTTCACTCGTTTCCCCACGAAGACGAAATGTGACACAAAGTCTTTTTTAAAGTGGGGACCCGAGCGCGAGCACCAGGGTAGGGGCAAAAATTTCCCACAGCCTACGCAGCCGATCCCTCCCTCTAGTGCATTGGTGGGGCGCGGTCTCGGGCAGCTGTTCCCCAGAGCTGGGCACCTCTCAGTATA